CTATATCCTGACACATACTCCCCCCTTCCTATATCCTGACATATCCTGATATATATCCCCCTCCCCCCTCATATCCTGACACATACTCCCCTCCCCCTCATATCCTGACACACATACTCCATTCCCACTCATATCCTGACATGTCCTGTAGTTGGGGATGACAGAGGAGTTACAATGTAACAATGATAGAACGGATACAGTGTCGGTCGGCGGAGAATCGCTCCTTTCATCTCTGTGATCAAAGTGTCTGGAAATGTCCCTCCGGGGCCACCACACTCATAGGGCCCATTGTCCTCCCAATGTGAGAGATGAGCTGTGCGCACAAACCACCGACAGGAAACGCCGCACATTATGCGTCCGACCCCCGCCAGATCGCCGCAGAATTAGTGTACACGGAGGTATGAGGGTCCTGATCATTGTATCTAGTAGGGATCAGGAAGTATGAGGGTCCTGATCATTGTATCTAGTAGGGATCATAAGATATGAGGGTCCTGATCATTGTATCTAGTAGGGATCAGGAAGTATGAGGGTCCTGATCATTGTATCTAGTAGGGATCATAAGATATGAGGGTCCTGATCATTGTATCTAGTAGGGATCAGGAGATATGAGGGTCCTGATCATTGTATCTAGTAGGGATCAGGAGATATGAGGGTCCTGATCATTGTATCTAGTAGGGATCAGGAGATATGAGGGTCCTGATCATTGTATCTAGTAGGGATCAGGAGATATGAGGGTCCTGATCATTGTATCTAGTAGGGATCAGGAGATATGAGGGTCCTGATCATTGTATCTAGTAGGGATCAGGAGATATGAGGGTCCTGATCATTGTATCTAGTAGGGATCAGGAGATATGAGGGTCCTGATCATTGTATCTAGTAGGGATCAGGAGATATGAGGGTCCTGATCATTGTATCTAGTAGGGATCAGGAGATATGAGGGTCCTGATCATTGTATCTAGTAGGGAACAGGAGATATGAGGGTCCTGATCATTGTATCTAGTAGGGATCAGGAGATATGAGGGTCCTGATCATTGTATCTAGTAGGGATCAGGAGATATGAGGGTCCTGATCATTGTATCTAGTAGGGAACAGGAGATATGAGGGTCCTGATCATTGTATCTAGTAGGGATCAGGAGATATGAGGGTCCTGATCATTGTATCTAGTAGGGATCAGGAGATATGAGGGTCCTGATCATTGTATCTAGTAGGGAACAGGAGATATGAGGGTCCTGATCATTGTATCTAGTAGGGATCAGGAGATATGAGGGTCCTGATCATTGTATCTAGTAGGGATCAGGAGATATGAGGGTCCTGATCATTGTATCTAGTAGGGAACAGGAGATATGAGGGTCCTGATCATTGTATCTAGTAGGGATCAGGAGATATGAGGGTCCTGATCATTGTATCTAGTAGGGATCAGGAGATATGAGGGTCCTGATCATTGTATCTAGTAGGGAACAGGAGATATGAGGGTCCTGATCATTGTATCTAGTAGGGAACAGGAGATATGAGGGTCCTGATCATTGTATCTAGTAGGGAACAGGAGATATGAGGGTCCTGATCATTGTATCTAGTAGGGAACAGGAGATATGAGGGTCCTGATCATTGTATCTAGTAGGGAACAGGAGATATGAGGGTCCTGATCATTGTATCTAGTAGGGATCAGGAGATATGAGGGTCCTGATCATTGTATCTAGTAGGGATCAGGAGAT